TGAGTTTGTTCTACTTTACATTGACATTTAATCATTTAGCAGATGCTTTTATTCAAAGCAACTTACAAATAAGAACAAGCAATTAACCAAAAGGTCAGCAACATGTTTTATATTTATGTTTTTAGTGCTGTGATAAATCCAGTCAGTATAGTATCTACTTACTAATAATATGTAGATGGACAGTATTAATAATTGTGTAAGTATACAAGTCTCCGCTGATCCAAACTCCACATAAATAAACTCCTCCATCATCTGGTGTCACAGCAGTGATTCTCACAGTAAAGATGTTATGTTCGTCATCAGAAATACCGAATCTTTCTTTATTCTTCCATCTGCTGTAAATCGTCTCAATGGAGTCTTTTCCTTCTTGTATTTTGGGTTGGTTTTGTATTGAGGATGTTCACACTTGATCATCAAACCACCTCCTGAGGAGCCGCTCACTCTAGACACGCCCACTTTAGCTGTCAATCGCAAATATTACTTCTAATCAATTTTGCAGGAAACACAGAATGTAGAAACTTTTATACTGGATTTGAGTTTGTTCTACTTTACACTGACATTTAATCATTTAGCAGATGTTTTTATTCAAAGCAACTTACAAATAAGAACAAGCAATTAACCAACAGGTCAGCAACATGTTTTATATTTATGTTTTTAGTGCTGTGATAAATCCAGTCAGTCTAGCGCAGTATAGTATCTACTTACTAATAATATGTAGATGAACAGTGTTAATAATGGAGTAACTGTATGATTGTCTGTTGATCCAAACTCCACATAAATAAACTCCTCCATCCTCTGGTGTCACAGCAGTGATTCTCACAGTAAAGATGTGTTTATGTTTGTCATCAGAAATACTGAATCTTTCTTTCTTCTTCCATCTGCTGTAAATCGTCTCAATGGAGTCTTTTTCTTCTTTGAATATGATCTTGGGATCATTAATATGATTCTGTGAATATTCACAGCTGAAATTGGCAGTTTCTCCAATATTCACCATCACTCTCTTTGACACTTTACAAAATGAATCTGCCATTCACAAAATAAATATATGGATTTACAAAATTTTGAAATGATCAACAATTTTACTACATAAAGACTTTTAAAATGAATGACCTTCTTCCACATTCAAAGTAATATCAATGAACCACTGGCCTTCAACCTCAATCCTGTAAGTTCCAGCATCTTGTGTGTTTAGTTCTCTGATGTAGATCATGAGATTTCCATGATTATTGGAAAATAAAGTGAATCTTCCTTCATTAATCCACCGTTCATGCTTCCTATGGGTTATTATTGTTTCATTATGGTGCTTTCTCATGTATTTAGCGTAGTTTTTGTGCCAAGGCTCCCATGATCTAACAAGAAGACTTCCTCCAGAATATCCCGTGACGCT